TTATTGGCATATAACTGTTAAGTATCATGTATATGAAAGATAGAAACTGATTTTATTGTTCATCACAAGCAAGCTAATCAATAAACATATTGCTTAATAATTTTGCTGTAAACCAGATGTGTGTCTGTTTATGTTGCATCAGTCAAATTTGATTGTTCATTCACATATAATGTTACTAATTTTAGTATGGTGGTTTTACAATATTTTATGTGATTTTTATATGATTATATATTTTATAGTATATCTTCTAAACTTTGTTCGTCTTTAAGACTTTATGATTATTTCTTTGTTTTCTTTTGTTTTTGAGACAGTGCCTCACTGTGTACACCTGCTGGCCTGAAGCTCCAGGCTGGCCTTGAACTCAGAGAGATCCTACCTCTCCTTGCCTGTTGTGTCCTAAAATAAAGATGTATGCTACCGTGCCCAACTGATCTATGGTAATTTTTTATAACTTTTACATTTTTATATAAAATTGGATTTAATCTGCTAATCTCTGCAAACTTTTGTTGAATTTTGGACAGTATCTAGAAAAACACTCAATGCTGTCTAAGAATATCTTCCTCTAAGAGGATCGAGTTTCCTTATTTTACCTTCACAAATGGAACACAAAAAAAAAAATCCCTTCCATCCAGATCTGTCTTAATCTTAGCTTGTTCCTGAACTCTGTGATACAGTATTTGCGGGGATCATAGTTTACCAAAGTGTAAGTGCTTTAATGAAATGTAGTTTTATTTTTCTTCTTTGTTTGTTTTTTTTTTTTTTCACATATCTGCTTATATTGTAAGAAGCGGTTGGGACACTATAGCTACTGTTTAAAAAGTTAATTTATAAAATCAGGGATTTGGTGAAGCTTTCTGGTGGGTTTCCTTGGGGACTCATGCATAGATACCACAGGAGGAAGGCTCCAAAGTCCAAGAAGAATGAGGTCATGGGGCTATGAAGAACTCCTTGAAGATATCACATGCATATTTGCACATGCATAACCTTGCATATGCTGAACCAAGCTTTGAAGAATATGCCTCTGGCCATAAGTACTACAGCCAGACCAGGAACACATCTGGGTTTTCCTTTCATGGCCTCTTGCTCTATTTGGATGCACAGGCTGATTTTCATTTGAGACAGCTACACATTGTCTTCTCTTCTTAGAACTGTGAGAGTCCCCAAACCTCTACTAGGCTCTTTAATTTCTAAGCACACTTTTAGAGTTCCTTAGTGTCTTGGGGTAGGAAAATGCCTAGGGAAGGAACATAATGTGTGCAGAATGTCAGTCATTTTTTTCTGAAATTCTCTGAGTTACTATCTTTAACTTTCTATTCTGATGTTTATAGTCAGTTTCTAAATCTGGGACTGACACCTGCTGTTAAGGTCAAAGAACATAGGAACAGAAGAGTTTACTCCAAGGCATGTCCATTCTCTGGGAGAAACTTGGTGCTTGAATTTGATTAAGTTGGCTTAGTTAATTTCCCTTTGTGTGGAGGGATGTATGTATGACCAAGGTCTTATAGGTGCTTGAATGTGTGGCATGTGAATCCTACAATCTATATGTTGTATACTGCTTAATACAGAAGTAATCTTCTCATTTGGTAAATGTGAGCAGAATGAGCAAAAGTTAACATATGGAGCAAGCATGGACAGAGAACACAGGAGCTTAGTCTCCAGCTGAGACTTACCTCTCCCTCAAACACTGCTGTAAAAATATATGCACACCCCAATATCAGCAAATTTGGAGGCAGTGGCCAGCAATATTTTCCTCTATAAGCTTCTACATCCCCACATACAATCAATTCTTGTTCTGTGATAGGTTTTGCTCATTATTTAAGACCTGCCCTAAGAGTAATTCCCTTTCAACTCACTTTATTTATTTCTATAACAACATGATTTTGTAATTTGTGGCTTTTGATATTTTACCAAATGTATGGGATTTGAACTTAGAAAAACTAAATTTGATTCCTATATGAGGTCTTGCGGTCTTTGGGAAGTTTTCTCTAAGAGTTGGTTGTCACATCTGTAAATGGGAGAAATACTACCTACCTCATTATTTTAAATATATTTATTGAATGTATATTTTATGCTAACCACTGAATTGAGAAGTGTATTAAAGAGAATGTGAATGTACACAGCACTATCACAACAAATATATATTATAATCACTCAACTTTAAATCCTTTTATTTCTTCATGAGATCAGTAACAATTGATAAGGAAATGGGAACTTCATGGAAATTCCAGGCTTTAGAGTCTGAATAAATGTGTAAATGTACCTTGCATGCCTGTACTCTCACTGTGCTAGAGCCAAGTTATAGTCTTTGACATCCTTTGCCCGTGGTATTAATGAATAAAGACAGACACAAACAAACCATATGTATATTAAGTGCATCTATTCCTTCACAATTACCTGCATATAGTAGCTGATTCATCCAACCCCCTAATTAAAAATTTGGTCTGCTAAGTTGATAGAGTGCTTGGTTATCAATCCCCAGTCAAGCATAAACTAAGCATGGTGGGAAATGACTGTAATTCCATACCTCTGCAAGCGAGTGTAGCAGACAGAGCGGGATGCTTCCGGTCATCCTCAGCTACATAATGAACTTGTAGTCAGCCTGGCATTTGTGAAACCCTGTATCAGTAACAACAACATAAACAACAATAATGAAATAGTAAAATAAATTAAAGAAGACGTACCAACGGAAAAAAACTTAGCTGTAAATGGGGCAAACTGGGTTTAAATTTTGTGTCTCTCATTTACCGCCCCTTTGTTCTATATTTACAGCATGTTAATTATTTAGTTAACTACCTAAAAATCAGGCTTCCTTACCTGTAAAACCCAGTAAAATAATGGTGTTTGCGTTGTAAGAACTGTGAGGCTCGAAAAGTAATTTTATATGGAAAACTACACCACGGAGCAAACAGTAAGTGCTCAATAGCTGTTGGCTATCATTGTCATCTGGAGCTTAGGCTCATTTCCAGTTGTCCTGATGTACTTGTTAAGGAGCAATTTAATCTGCTTCTTCCACTCTCATTTTCCATGATCCTCAATCCCAGGTGAGAGCACTGGAAAAGGTTTTCATTTTAAATGCATCTGGGCAAACGAGTTGTTCCACATAAATCAAGTACCCCTTGAGGTTCCTGTCTTTCGAAGTCTGAGAATGTGGGTAGTCCTGGCTTCAGCACCCTTGTCCGGTGTGTAGGATGTTCTGGCAATCCAGATGGATTGCCAGAACTGGAGCCTGAGATTTGGCCTGTGGCTGGGTTCTCTTCACTTCCTCTTGGCCAGGCTTTTGGGCCAGGAAAATGCTGTAATCACATTTCTTCTCCCCAGAAAACCCCTAGAGATCTCCTCTCTTGGACTTGAGGGTAGACATTCAAGAACTACCTTCCTTGGATGCTTTTTAGTTGTGATTTAATTTTTTTTCAAACCATCTGCCTTAATATGTTTTGCCCAACCCTTGAATTTTTTTCCTATTTGAACCCACAGTCAGGGAGCTCTTTACATTTAAGCTTATCCCAGAAATGTATATTTTAAAACAACTTTTAAAACCCATTCTTGGGCTATTGCACTCCTTATTTGCTTGCAGACTGTATATTTACATGTTTAATCTGACTATACATTTTAATGCACATACTGGCGCAATGAGGAATTTTATGATGACAGAAAAGCCAGCAAAAACTAGTTTAGATCACAAAAATATGCAGGAAATGAACTTTTAAAAGATCTATTTTTATATTTAGTTGACACAACCATGACTTCTTAGTGAAGAAAGGCAGGGTGCCCCCAGAGAGGAGTCTTCCATGGCTGTGATTCACAGTCTATTTATTTGGAGCCTGGAGTTTTGAAGATAATTTGAAAACTGGAAGAGAAAGTGGTATCCACCCAGCTCATTGTTCAGAGCCACAGGTCATGGAACAGAAATTTCTTGCCATGTTATGGGATCTAGCAATGACAGGAATGATTGTACAGACTTCCAGCGGATGAACCATGCAAAGACCTTTTCCTTTTAACTCCTTCAACCTATGTGCTATCCAGAATTTGCATTATCTGTTTGAAGGCACACTATGGTTCCAGTGACACAGAAGTATCATGAAAAATATGTGTTTTTCCCAATATGATCCCAAAAAATTACCAAAGCTGGTGAGTCGAAAAAAGAAAAGTTCTCTCAGTAGCTAAGAGAGACTTGCATTTCTTAAAGATGGGGATTCAATGTATATCGTCCAGGTATCTCCTTTTCTCAATTCTGTAGGTAACATTTTAACTTACCATTCCAACCACCTTCATAGATGTTAGTCTTATTGAATCACACACTGAGACTTCAGGTCCCTAAAGAGTGCTCAGCACCTTCTGGAAGGGGGCTGTGGCAAGATCATGGATGGACACCCACAGCACTGTGGATGAAGAAGTTGGCAAGTTTCACCCTTGCCTCCTGTCCACACTTTCCAGTCTCCTTTTCCGTTATGGCATCATGTATGAGGTCTAGCATGCATGGCATTCTTACAGAACATGTGGGAAGCGTTGGTTAATTAATTAGATTGGCCCGTGTCCGGGGCATTGGAGGATTAAAATACACCTCTAGAAAAATTCAAATCCAGTTTTTCCCTCATTCCTTGCTTTCCGGCACTCCCTGCCATGTGTATAAAGAAAGGCTGATGTGTCACTTGGGATGTTTCCTGGACTTTTATAAAATGTTCTTCTGTAAGATTTTATATTCTCTGAAGTCTGACATTTCCTGAATTTTCATTAACGCTGATGGCAGGGAAATTATTACCTAGTGAAATTTGTAAAATCAAAGTAGCCATGGGCCTCTCTTAAGTAGAATCTTTAATATGCTTAGGAGCCTGGCAATATAATTGCCTTTTCTGTAGATCCTTCCAGCAGAACAGTTTCAACCCCATACTAGTAAAACTTAAAGAAGGATTTCTTCAAATATGTAGAATATTCAAAGGTTTATAAAAACATAAGACTTGACTATAGAGACACTTTCTTGGAGATTCAAAATAGGCAGTGAAGTGCTCACTTCGCCAGCACATATAATAAAATTGAAATGATACAGAGATTAGCATGGCCCCTGAGAAAGGATAATGTTTAAATTAATGCAGTGTTCCATATTCTCTCTCTCTCTCTCTCTCTCTCTCTCTCTCTCTCTCTCTCTCTCTCTCTCTCTCTCTTCTTTCTCTATGTTCCATATTCTCTGTCTCTATCTCTGTCTCTGTTCCTCCCTCCCTCCCTCCCTCCCTCCCTCCCTCCCTCCCTCCCTCCCTCTCTCTCTCTCTCTCTCTCTCTCTCTCTCTCTCTCTCTCTCTCTCTCTCTCTCCTACCTGCATGATCTTTGAGTATATATTATGGCTTCTGGTTTTGGTTTTTTTTTCAGGATTCCCAAGCGTGTGAACAAATGGTTCTCCCTTCCACATCTCTCTCTTGGGCTCTTCCACTTCTGTGTTGTCATACCATGCTGTGTTTGCTTTTGTTTTACCTTATTATGTATTATATTCACTTCTCTCCTTGGGAAGCCAATTTATATTATTCTGAGATGGAAAGGGGTGATCCCCACAGGAGGATGGGAGGGGATTTGGGGAACAACTTGGAGGTGTAGAAGGAAAGGAAACTGTAATCAGGATATATTATATGAAAAATCTATTTTCAATAAAAGAAAAAATTAGAAGTAAAATTTATCATTATGAATGGGTTGGGAGGGAGGAAAAGGAAAGGAGTTGTAATTATATTATAATCTCAAAAACAATAAGAGAAAAAAGTTGTGTAAAAATAGTGAATATATACATAATTTTTATAGCAAATCATAAATATTTTATCAGATAGTGAATTTGATTTTTTAATTTTTTTAATATTTTATTCATAAAATTAGTGGACATCTTATTCAAACATATTAAAGTGTTTTTAATATTGAAATATTTTTATTTTAACAATGTTTTTGACCAATAACATTGCTATGCTTAAAGAAAATGAAGTCCATAATTTTACTACATTTTACATGATTGCTTATTACTCAATAATTGAGACAAAAATATCTTTTCTTCCTTATGATGATATTTGGCAAAAATATTAAACATTAATATATAAATAGCCATACCCATATGCATCAGCTTATATGCTATCAAAATATTTTTTATGCTGGTATCTGCTAAAAGTTAATTCCAGTGTAAATGATTGCCATAGATTTTCAATAAGAACAGAGTTTCAAAATTATATATACATATATAATCATATATGTATACATAAATCAAATGTGTATACAAAGCATATGGACATACAAATTATGTACATATACACATACTAAATATATGTACATATGTATAAAATATACATATACATACAAATATATATATAATATAAACTTAAGTTACTGAATCAGGGAAAGAAAATTCTTGAATTCACTGCTAAATTAAATCCAAGTTATTGCAAGCAATAAATAAATGCTTTCCTAAATGATATTGACTAATCTGTAATTTTTTGTAAATTATGTAATTATTAAAAGTTGGGATTAATGGCTGGTTTGCGGTCTTTCCTTTGCCTTCAAAACACAGGAGAGTTTATTTGTTGGTCAATGACCCTTTTAAGTTAATTAATGATTAGGTATTTGTTTATACTGAAGCTATTATAAATGGGAATTGGCCGAATGTATGAATGGTATCTAAATACTTGTTACCAAACATTAAGTAGAAGGAATTGCTGAGATGCCACTGCTTTGGAGAATTGGAGGAATCATACATATTTGGAATGGGTACCTGACTAACCAGGTACAAAATATAAAGCGACTTTGTTTTGGACAATTGTCACTTTTAAATCGACTAATTTTAGACTCATCTAGAAGGCATATCAATGAGATATATAACTAATATAGAAAATTTCTACCAAGAGTAGGATTATTGCTATGAGATACTTGACCATGTGATTCTTGGGCTTTTGGAACTTTGGAAGAATAAGGAAGAATTTGGTGCTATGGACCAGTGAAGCATTGGAAGTCTATCAGCAGAGCATAATTGGACCTTTTAATGGGAGTTTAGAAGACCAAAATTCCAAGAGAAATTCAGAATGGAGTTGTGAATTATGAGGTGCCAAGGACTGATTGAGCAAGGACTCACTGGGAACTGGGCTACAAGTCATTTTTATTCTATTTGGAAAAGAATCTGATTATTCTCCCCATCTTTTGAATACTTGAGTGGGGCCAAATTCCAAAGTAATGGAGACATTCATCTAGTGGATGCAATTTTAGGACAGCAAATGTATCTAGGATGCTCACTATTCTCAGGCAGGTCTAATGAGAGAGGAGACAGTTGTGGACACTGAACATTGCTTAGGAATGGAGTATGAAGATATTTAAATTTGTGGATAGGGGTAGAGGAGAAAATATGGCTGAGTGGTGGTGGTGCACATCTTTAATACCAGCACTTTGGGAGGCAGAGGCAGACATATCTCTGAGTTCAAGTTTAGTCTGGTCTATAGATAGAGTTCTGGGACAGCTAGGGCTACACAGAGAAACCCTGTCTCGAAAAACAAACAAAAAAATCAATAAACAAACAAACAAACAAAAAAGATCAACTGGTGGACACTGGGCCTGGGGTGATGGTTCAGGACATAATGGAACTTGCTTTGTAAGTATAAAGGCCTGAATTCAAATCCCCAAAACATAGGCAATGATGGTGATATTTTATTTGTGCTGAAATGTGATTTTATTTGTATGTTAATAAATAAAAGTGCCTGGGAGTCAGAGCTAATAGCAAGCCATTTAGCAGAAGTCTGGCAGTGGTAGCACATGCCCTTAATCCCGATCACATGACAGGCAGATCTCTGTGTGTTCAAGGACACCACCAGCATGGAGACACACACTTTTAATTTCAATACCAACCATAGAGACCTGGAGGTCTGCATAGACAGGCAGTGATGAAGAGGTCATGTGGTTGGGTTTACAACCAATGAGAAGACAGAACATAAAGCCAATAAAAAGACAGACACACAGGAAGAAGGTCTCTCTCTCAGGGGAAGGACGACAGCGACAGTGAGGGGTAAGAAGGCGGTCTTGGTCTCACCTCCTAGCTACTGCTCTCTGATCTCTGGGCTTTTAACTCTGCATTTGGCTCTGCATTTCTTATTTAATAAAACCGTTCAGAATTATATCTACAGGTAACAGTCTGGCCATTGCTGTGTGTGGTTTTAACCCCAGTATTGGATACCAATAACAAACAGATACCACCAATAACAAACAGATACCACCAATAACAAACAGATACCACCAATAACAAACAGATACCAAGAGCTTGCTAGACAGTCACCCTCAGGGAATAGAAAGTTTCTGTTTCAATGAGAGACTCTGTCTCAAGAGAGTAAAGTGGATTAACAGGAGCTCTGAACTCTGAAGGCGTGCATATGGGTGTGCACGTCTATACTCAAATGCTTGCACCACACACACACACACACACACACACACACATAAAGTCAACTTAGTACTTCTCACTAGGAAAGGTATCCTGATGGAAAGACCACACATACCAAATGTTCTAATATGTCAAAATGCAAATTCATTTGAAATTAGAGTACCTGAATTGAGAATAACATTTAACATGCTCCTTGCTAAAAAAAAAAAAAAAAAAAACCACTACGGAGTATTCTTCCATGTTCTGCCACCAAGTCAGAGAAAGACCAACTATAGCTGTGGTAGAAAGGGATCAGAGTATAAGACAGGTTCACAGCAGGACTTGGAAGTGTCATCTACAGGATACAGTGTGGTTTGCTCCAAGCTTTTCCCGGGAGAGGTGAGGGAGCAGAAGTGAGTGAGCGGAAGTGAATGAGCAGGGGCCCTAGGCTTGTTAGTTGGCAGAGATAACTCTCTGGGAAGAAAGTGAAATAAAGGCTGGGGACAGTGTCAGGGGCATCACCCAATTTTCATTAAGAGGCAAGCTCCTATCCTAAAGCTCTGAGTAGCTGCAGCAAGAGAGCCTTATAGCAGGGATCTATGTCAGGGTTCAAGCTAAAGATAAATCAGGCATCTGGTTTACAGACAGCTTTCAGACAAGGTCAGTCCTCCAGGCCCAGGGACATCTTCCACATAAGGCTAGGTAAAGAGCAGGAAGCTTTGCTGGAGGAAGGGAGTTTCCACATTGCCTAGCTCAGAGAGAAAGCTGCTAGGCTATTGCAGACTGCACCCTCTACCAGCCAGCAAAAATCTCCCAACAGTACTGGTTTGGCATGCATGCAAAATGTAAACGTTAAAGAATCCTGAGGTTTTCATCAGTGTTCCAGAAAGTCCCTGAGGCTATGCAATGTGTGGTGGGATAAGATTCCTTATAATGAGACCCCCAACAAACTACTATATGAATCTGTGAAGATGGAGCTTATGATGGCCATGGGCAGTGATAAGTATAAATTGGAGCTGCCCCAAGAGAGAGGCTACTTGTTTTGCAGATAGCAGACCTGGAAAGTGGGACTATACAAGTCTACTGAACCCAGATGATTCCATAATGAACCCAAGATACCATACATGAAACTTCAGAATTCGTTGTTTGCTCTACTAACATCTGGTCTTGTTCTGTCCTGATCTTTCTTTGATGTATCCGCATTCTCCACTTTAGGAATGAGATTATTTATTCTTGAATATATTGAAAGGCTATAACCCGAACATTTTATTGTTATGTGGGGGTTCACAATTAAGAGATTTTACTGAATCACATAAGGGAGTTTGGACTCTGGGAATCTGAACAATTTTGAAACTGTTAAAATTGTGGGGACTCCTGAAAATGAACTAGATACATTCCATAATATGCGATGGCCATGAGTCTATGGAAGCTATGGTTTAAAATGATATGCTCGGGTTCCAAATAGAGAAGGGGTGGAATTTTGGTAGTTAATAGTAATTATCCACTTGACTAGATATTACAGTCACCTACAGACTTGTCTATGGTAGTTTTTCAAGGAAGCTTTAATTGAGGAGGAAAAAATATACCCTAGGTGGGTGTGGCATTATTCATGAGCTAGAATCCCAGACTGAATACAAGGAGGCAAAGTTAGTCCAGCACCAGTGTTCATCTGTCTTCATTTGCTGACTGTGCATCCAATGGGACCTCATCTTTCCAGCACCACAGCTGATTCTGCTACAGTGCC